AGATGGCTCAGCAATTAAGAGCACTAGCTATTCTTATAGAGGACTCAGGTCGATTCCCAGCACCCACATGGTGGTTAATGATCATTCCTAACTTCAGTTCCAGGGGATAGGGAATACAACCCCTCTTCTGGCCTACATGGGCACTGCATACACACAGTACACTTACATACATGCAAGCAAAACATTCGTGCACATTAAAAAAAACTAGAGATGGCTGAGCCAATAAAGGCACTCACAACCAAGTCTGGAAACCTGTGTTTGATCCCTGGGATCCACCTGGTGGAAGGAGAGAACAAACCAACTCCTGCAAATTGTCCTCTGACATCCACACCTACACCATGGTATGTATGCTCCCATATGCAATTTAAATAAAATGCAAGTTTTTTTTTTTTTTTTTGTCTTTTTAAGACAGGATCTCACTATAATCCTAGCTGGCTTGGAACTCTCTATGTAGATCAGGTTGGCCTTGAACTCACAGAGATCTCACCTGCCTCTGCCTCCCGAGTGCTGGGTATAAAGGCACGCACCACCAGGCCTGGCAATAAAATGCAATTTTATTTTCTTTGGTCTTTTTGAGACAGGGTCCCTTTGCAGCCCCAGCTGTCCTGGAACTCACTATGTAGACCAGGCAGGCCTTGAACTCACAGAGATCCACCTGCCCCTGCTTCCCAAGTGCTGGGACTACAGGAGTGCACCACCACACCCGGCAAAAATGCAATTTTTAAAAGAAATTATTTTATTATTTTTATGTGTATGAGTATACTGCCTGCATGTGTACGTGCACCCATGTTGTGCAATGCCCTCAGAAGTCAGAAGAGGGTGTGGATCCCCTGCAACTGGAGTGACAGATGGTTGTCAGCCACCATGTAGATGATGGGAATTGAACCCAGGTCACCTGCAAGAGCAGCCAGTGCTCTTAACCACTGAGCCACCTCTCCAGACCCCAAAAATGGATTTTTTTTTTTAATTTAAAAAGCAAACAGGGGGGCTGGAGAGATGGCTCAACGGTTAAGAACACTGACTGTTCTTGCAGAAGACCCGGGTTCAAATCTCAGCACCCACATGGCAGCTAACAACTGTCTGTAACTCCAGTTCCAGGGGATCCAACAGCCTCTTCTGTCCTCCGCGGGCATTGCATGACACGGGTGCACTTACCTACATGCAATACATGCATACACAAAAAATAATAAATAAAATATTTTAAAAAAAGCAAACAAGTTGGGCATAGTGGCTCAAGCCTTTAATCCCAGCACTAGGGAGGTAGAGGCCAGCAGATCTCTATCAGACTGAGGCCAGCCTGGTCTACATAGTGAATTCTAGGCCAGTTGGGGCAAGAGGGAAACCTGTCTTAAACAACAACAACAAAAAAAACCAAAAAGCCCCCCAAAACCAAATAAATAAAAAGCAAACAAATATGTAAATAGAGAAAAATGTCTTATTCCTACACAAGCAGGAAAGGGACCCCTTCTTCCTCTATGACATCGCACCTTTAGCCCTCTTTCTCTGACCATGCCACCCATGTCTTGGTGCTAAAACAGCTACCTAGAGACAGTAAACTAAAGCAGTGGGATAAGTCTATGTATTTGGAAACTTGGGGGAAATTGATTGCAATAAAAGTAATCTTCCACACACTTGCATTAGCTCTTATAATGTCTACATTATTCTACTCAGTTGGTTCCAAAATAAATAAATACACACACACACACACACACACCCCTACCTCTTGGCAATATCAAATGAACTGAGAAAAACCCAATAAATATCCCTCAAGGAGTCCCAAATAAACTACGTCACACACAAAAAAGGGAAATTTGAGATTTCTGAAAAATTTTACTTTCACTAATCCATTTATTTAGGCTTTCTGAGATAGAATCTGACCTTGTAGGCTAGCCTGGAATTCACTATGTAGCCCAGGCTAGCCCTAAACCTATGACAATCCTCCTAACTCAACCCCTTAAGTGCTGGCACTGGGATTAAAGGTGTGAATGAGCCAACAGGCCTGGCACAATCTTAATGTATGAAATGAGGAAACACACTGAGAACGAGCAGTGCTACTTTGTTCTATCCCAATACCTGTGGAGAGTCTAGGCACATGGTCCATATTGCTAAAGAAGCAAATACAGTTTGTTGGTTACTGTTACTCCCTAGTTATAAACCCTTGATGGCTATGCCAACAGAATAGAGCAGTCATGATAGGTCTCCAAAATCTGGCCCTAGTTTACCTTTCCAGTCTTATTTTCTACTCACAAGTCTCTAAATCCATTACCACAAACATACTCTACACATCCCCATCTCTGTGTAACTTATGCTTTCAGCTTGAACACTCTCCTGCCCACCATCTGCTGAAATCCTATTCCTCCTTCAAAGGTTCAAGTTGTTGTGGCCTTTCAGTCCTGATCTAGACCCATTAGAATTCCACTAACAGAATTAGGACCTTGACCAAAATTAATCAACAGATCTGTTTCTTCACCTGATAGCAGGCACCTATGGTACTTTATAAGGCTAATGTGTGAATTAAACATAATAGTTATAAATGATCTACCATCATGTTTAAGGCACAGTAGATAATGTATTTTCTCAATGCATTCAATTTCATAAATCTTCATATAATCTTAGTATTATTACAACTTTATTAACCTGATATCCACCTCTCTTCTGATAAAGATGTCCACCAAAGACAAATATGAAAGTCTTGAAGCACTTTATCACAGAAAAGCTGCCATATATTCAGTCACATTCTTCGAGAACAAGTAATATCATAATGTGTAACTCACATCTCCTTACTTCACATGTGGCTCACCCCTACAAGTTGTAAAAGGTAGTCTGTTAAACAAAACCCTGAAATTAGTAGTCTACAAAGAAGTGGAATCTGGTTTTCTGCCATTGATTCAGTTTTTAATTCTTATCTGGTGTACTAACCAATTTCTCTACTAAAAACTCCAGTCAAGGGCTGGAGAGATGGCTCAGTGGTTAAGAGAACCGACTGCTTTTGCAGAAGACTCTGGTTTGATTCCCAGCACCCACATGGCGGCTAACAACTGTCCGTAACTCCAGTTCCAGGGGATCCAACACCTCCTTCTGACCTCCACAGGCACTGGATGACACGGGTGCACTTACACACATGTAGGCATAACACCCGTACACATAAAATAAAAATAAATTTTTTAAAAAAACTCCAATCAAGTGCCAACTATGCCTACAATAGTATTTATGATAAATGATATCATTTATATGCTTCCAATACATTGCTCAAGTTAAGAAGGCCAAAACACACACACACAAAAATAAACTAGCATCACAGCAGTTACCACCCACTCTTACCTATAGGCTCTAACACAGACTGTAGAGAGAGAGAAATTAAAAGTCCAGGAAAAACTATGCTTTAAATCTGACACTACCACTTATTGGCCGTGTAACATAAGCATGCTGTTTCCTTTTGTTTTGAAGACAGGGTCTCACTATGTAGCCCTGGGTGGCCTGGAGCTCCCTAAGTAGACCAGGTTGGCCTCAACTCACAGCAATCTGCCTGCCTCTGCCTCCCCAATGCTGGGATCAAAGACATGTGCCAGCATGTGTGGCTGTTGTTTTTTTTTTTTTTTTTTTTTTTTTTTTTTTTTTTTTTTTTTTTAAAAAAAATCTCAGAGATCTGCCTGCCTCTGCCTCCCTAATGCTGTGATTAAGCATGTGACACCACACCCAGCACCAGGCCACTTATGCTTCATATCCTTCATCTGTAAAATAGGGGCTGTCACAGTATGAACTCCATACAGTTGTTGCTAAATGAGATAATGGGTGCTAAATGTTAGCAAATTGTTAACATCACATATAGTGAATGGTATCCTACCTAACAGTGCCTGGGCATTAAGGTTCTTCATAAATACTGGTGAATAAACATTTAGCACATTTTACATTAGGAAATAAGTGTGCTACTGACTTAAGGTCTACCTTAAGTTAAATAATGATTAATAACAGTAATACTGCTTAGGCACATTTTACTGTTTACAAAGCCCTTTTGTTTGTTTTTGTTGAGATGAAGTCTCCACGAGTAGCCCAAGCTGGCCTGGAATTCCCTATGTAGATAAGGTTGGCCTTGAACTCAGGGAGATCTGCCAACCTCTGCCTTTTGAGAGCTGGGACTACAGGCATGCACCACCACGCTGGGCTACAACGCCCTTTTAACAATAAGCTCATGTGATTTCCAAAACATCCTAAGGGAGTAGACATTTTTAAGATACGCATTTAAGAGCTACAGAAATTGGTTAATAATGCCATAATAACCACCCCAGAGGTCTCCTCCAACCAGGCTCTCCACCTCGGCGGTTAAGTGCTTAGGGCCAAAATTTTTAAGCATCATAGTAACCACTTATAGGGGGCCGATTCCTGCAAGTTGCCAACCCTCCTCGACCATAGTCAGTAGTTCTGGAGAAAGCCGAAGGTAACAAATCCAGTCAGAAGCCACCGATGATACTTCATGTTGCATTGTTTCCCTAGGTGACATCCTCCCACATTCCCGGTGCAGGTGCCAGACCTGGGTGGGGTGATTTCTTCCCCACCACAGGCCCCAACATAAGACAAAGGTAACCAAGAGACCCTCGGCACATGTTTGTCAAACAGCAGAGGATGGTGGCGGGCGAGCGGGCGGGTCAAGCAAGCGAACGGACGCCAACTCTGCGGTGGGGTTAGTATCTAGCACATCAACAGTCGATGGGCGGAGAGGGTCCAACGGATTAACCAGGCTTGCAAGGGCTGAGGACCGGCGCCGCGCAGGCAAACTAAGGAAGCCGACCCACGGAGGGAGAGCCGGGATGGCAGCGACGACTGAGGACCGGGGACCCGCAGAAGCTGGGGGCCGGGGAAATGCGGGCAGTTGGCGTCTAGGGGGAGGGGGCCGCCTCCCGGTCGAAATGGGCCCAACCCCAGCCTGAGGATGCTCATGCGCTCCGCGAGGGGCCCACTCCCCATCCCGCGGCGGCGGTGCTGCACCGGGTACTCGCTGCTACCTGAAACTGCAGCAGCTTCTCGGTCTGCTCCTGAGTTAGCTCCTGCTCCTCAGGCGCCGCCATTTTGCCGCCGCCTCTACGCTTCTGACCCATCCGCACCGTCACCCGCCGGAAGTGACCTCAGATGCAACTACATCCGGTCTGAACGGCCACCGGTACTCAACTGCATCTGCGCGCGCGCGCTATCGCTCCCTTTCGTAACCCCACGGTCAGAGGGCGCCGTTCGCCAGTCTATTCCGAATAATTCCAGAAACTGCGGAGGGTCATAGCTGATCTACCGGAAACCCAAGATTCCTGAGTCAAGTCAGAGCTGAGAGCGTCCTGATGTATACCTTCAGTAGCTGGGAGGAGTTCCCACGTCTGACTGCATTTAAGTATTTTCCATGCATGTCCACTATTCCCGATGGTTTCTCAGGAAACTATTGCCCTTGAAAAATATCGCCAGTTTGATGCTTAATCCATGCCTTTGACTTTTCCAAAAGTTGACTATCTGAACAGGTTCCAAAAGTTGGTTGGGCCTTTCCGACTCCGCCTTGGAACAGGAAGTTGTGGGGAGGCTTTGCCGTCTCTAGTTGGGAGTGTTTGGACCCGTGTTATTGGTGCTTCCAGACCCATAGAATTCTTCACCCCCATGGCAATAGTGTGGGAGCCTGCCTAGCCTCAAGCCATCGAGGACCTGGGCCACTGGCCCCTAGTCCCTGCGACAGGACTAGGTTCAGGAGATTAACTTTAGTTCTAATAACCACCTTGTAAATGTTGGACATCCTGGAGCAAACCACCTGGCTTTGCCTCCCGAGTGCTGGGAATCTGTCTGCCTCTGCCTCTCCCGTGCTGGGATTGAAGGCCTGCACCACCATGCTCAGGTAGTGTTGCCTTTTCTTGAATGCCCTGATATGCTTCTCTTGGCTTTTCTGGGTCCATGGAAGCATACGGCTGTATTCCCAGCATTTGGGAGGCTGAGGCAGGAGGATCTTGAGTCAAGGCCAACCTGGGCTACCCAATGAGACCCTATCTTTAAACAAAAGCAAAAGAAAACCCGCATTTTGTCCAACTTAGAACCTTCTAGCACAGTACTGTCCGATCAAAATATAATGTGGGCCAGAGGAGCAATTTAAAATACTTTAGTAACTACACTAGGAACACGTGAAATTCTTTAGTTAATTAGTATAGAGATCCTTCCCCACATTAAAATTAGAACTACCATCCAACCAGCCTCCAGGCATATTCCTGAAAGAATCAGTTTACTGTAGAAATACCTGCATGCACATATTTATAAATGCATAAGAATCAAGTTGTGGGGCTGGAGAGATGGCTCAGCGTTAAGAACACTGACTGTTCTGGCAGAAGACCTGGGTTCGAATCCCAGCACCCACATGGCAGCTAACAACTGTCCATTATTCCAGTTCCAGGGGATCCAACAGCCTCTTCTGTCCTCCGCGGGCATTGCAGGACACAGGTGCATTTACCTACATGCAGGCATAACACTCATACACATAAAAATAATAAAATATTTTTTAAATTAAAAAACAACTGGAATCAACCTAGGTCTCCTTTCAATGAATGAATGGATAAAGAAAATGTGGTGTATACATTCAGTGGAGTTTTAGTCTGTCACAAAAAAGAATGAAATTGTGAGGGGGTTGTTTGTCTTTTATCTTTTTGAGATGGTCTCCCAGTAGCCCCCACTGAGCTGGAACTTGGTATGTAGACCAGGCTGGCCTTGAATTCACAGAGACCCACTACCTCTGCCTCCTGAGTGCTGGGATTAAAGGCATGAGCCACCACACCCGGCTCTGAAATTATGATGTTTATAGGAAGATGGACGGAATTGGAGATCATGTTAAGTGAAGTAAGCTATTTTTGCAAAGACAAGTATCTTGTATTTTCTGTTATAGGTAGAATGTGGAGCTGGGGAGAATGTAAAAAGTAGGAATATAGAAGGGCAGTGTAGAGAGAGAAAGGGGATAAGGATAACAGGATGAGTATGATCAAAGTACTTTTATATACATACTTGGAAATATCCCTTACTTTGTGTAATTAATGTAATACTAATAAAAAGATCCAAGGGAGGGGTTGGGGAGATGGCTCAGTTGGTAAAGTACCTGCCAGGTCCATGAGGACCTGAGTTCAGATCCACCACATAAAAGCCAGGGTCAGCAGTAGTGCTCTATAATTCCAGCAGGGTGTTGGGGAAAGACAGGCAAATCCCTGGAGCCCATTAGCTGGCCAGCCTAGCAAATTGATGAGCTCCAGATTCAATGAGAGACCCTGTCTCAAAAAAATAAGGTAGTGAGTGACCAAGGAAAATGCCAGACATCACCCTCTGACCTCCACCTGTAACACACATGTACACACATCTACATGAATACATACATACACTACACAAATAAGTGAAACTAATTATAGTAATGTTTTATTGAACCCAATATAGCCAAAATATTATCGCTTATTTTTCCTGCACTAAATCTTCAAAATCTGATGTGAATTTTACATTAAGACCATATCTTGATTTGGACTAGCCATATTTCAAGTGCCCAGTTGCCATATATAGATATACAGGGCAACTATATTGAACAGGGCAGCTCTGGAATGGTCTGAAGATTTTTCTTTATTAGTTATATTCTTCTAGAGATGTTGGGAATTATATTCTTCTAGAGATGTTGGGAATTAATCTAACAAGTACTTATTGAATGTTTGCTTTGAGCCAAGTATTAGACTAGATGCTACTAAGGCAAACAGAACATAGCTGCTGTCCTCTAAAAACACACAGTTCAACTGAAAATTAAATGAATCTCACCAATTAAATATGTGTGTGTGTGTGTGTGTGTGTGTGTGTGTGTGTGTGTGTGTATGCACATTAGGTTTCTGAGTTCCAGACTTATGTCTATATCATGCCGGGACTTGTGACTAGCGGTTATCCTAGAGAATTTGATGAGTATTTGTTTCTCTAGTCCTAGTAATAGTACTTTGCTGATGCCTTACTATTTTGTTCCTGATGAGGAACAAATTCTGTCTCATGGAGGCATGGAATCTTAGAACGAGCCCTCAGTTGCTAAGCAGGTACAGCATGAAATATTTTCTATCAGTTGGGCACACAGCACCTTGATTGCTGAATATAGCACACATTGATGTCAGTAACAGTTTTTATTTATTGTTTGTATATTAAAGATTCTTAGGTTTCCAAGAAGGGTAACAGGACTCATAGAACAAATTAGGCTTGGAGGCCAAGTTTTGCTATATATAAGTCAGAAAATATATCGCATGCTGTTCAGGAAGGCCTGAATACAAATGCTGATGTCATCATTACTTGCATGACTTTGGCCAGTTAACTTCTCTAAGCCTCATTTTGCTCACCTTTCACCAGTAAGCATACCAATATTATATATGTCACACAGGATTGTGGCAAGAATTAAATCAGAAGGGATCTGAAAAATTCAGGTCCTAATCATAGCTGCTATGGAGATGAGCTAAAAACAGACTTAAGATCTGACTTGGATTTAGGGGATTTGGATGGAGCTCAGCAATAGAGTCCCCCAGTGCACAAAGCAGAGGAGGAGGGGGAGGGGGAGGAGGAGTGAGGAGGAGGAAGAGAAAGGAGGAGGAGAGGAGAAGAGGAGAGAAGTGAGGACACATTTTTCATCCCTCACTGACAGGCATAAACCCCAGATTGGCTCTTTGCCAGGCCCTTATGGGGCAAATTGCTTTATGTATGTGTCATAGCATTCATCCACCAAAGGTCATAATCAGGAACATGCCTTGAATGACTGACAACATGTAAGATGTCAGAATATTTTACAAGAATGCCAATTGCTTTATCTGTTTTCCTTCCCATGTTGGCTCCCTTGTGACCAGACTTACATGAACCCAGTGGGCAGCCAATAGTGGCACCTGAGGGCAGCTGATTCATCCTTTGGTAAGGGCACCTGCCTCCTAGTTTGCAGGAGGACTCAGTAGGCTGTGGGATGCCACATGGAAAACTACCAGGGGTTCTGATTCCTGTTGCACTTTATTATATATTTCCTGCTACAACTGTTGTCTCCATAGCTGTTGACCCAGCACCCACTAGTTTTACTTTTCCCATTGGGCCATCTAAAAAGTTAGACCTCTGAAGATAGCCTGTCAGTGCAGATTGTCACAGGCCAAGTCTAATGACTTACTATTAGCTATATACTGTTCTTAACTAAGTCCACTGGCTGTTTTTTCTTTCTCCTTTCTCCAGCCATGTGGTGTTGTATTTCTTATGTTACCCATTCCTGTTTGGTGCTCCACTTGTACCATATTGTACTGGATATCTACAGGCATGGGTGGTATCCCTTCTATCACTGTTATCTGGCTTAACTGTTGGTTCAATGATTGGAGGATCTCAGTGGCTTGAAAGTACATTGGCTTCAGAACAGTCTGTATGGCATTGGTGACAGTTGCAGACACCATACCATGTTGCTGTAAATACGCATGCCACTTCTGTAGGGTTTAATTTTGTGCTACCCAAGAAAGAGGGTTTGCCAAATGACTTTAAATCCAACCCTCAATTAGATAAGCTGTTTTTATGGTTACTGAGGTGGGACCAGTGATGGAGTCCACTTGTTGCAATGCTTTATATACAACTAGCAATTGCTGTTCTAGCACTGCATACCAAGCTTCTGCTCCTTTCAATAACTGAGATCCAAACCCCATTGGAATCATTTGCTCAGGTTGTTTTTGCCATATCCCCCAGCTGTAGCTCTCTGAGCTTCTGGTGACTTCTGACATGAAGGAAAGTTTTCCTGGTAGCTGGAAATTAAATGGTGGCTCAGCAGTTAAGAGTACTGGCTGCTCTTGAAGAGGACCTCCTTTGGGTTCCCAGCATCCACATGGTGGCTAACAACTGTCTGTAACTCTAGTTCTAGGGGATCCGATGTCCTCTTCTGACCTCCTCAGGCACTGTGAGATACAGGTGAACTTACACACATGCAGGCAATACATTCATACACAAAAGTAAAAATTAATAAATTTTTAGATCTCTATAATCCATGGTCATTCTCCAGGTTTTGGACTGGTGAATAATCTCTATCTTTTTTGACTCCTTAACAGATTTTGTAAATTAGTCATAGCCCCCAGGA